GGGACCAGGGGGAGGGGTCCCAGGGAGGGGACAGAGAGATGGGGTGGGGGAGGGGGAGACTCGGAGAAACAGACGGCGCTGAGGGTCCAGAGAGGCAGCGGAGTCCCGCTCAGAACCAGGGCCGGGCCCGCACCCCCTTCCTCTCTGCAGGATGGCTCAGAGACAGACCCTCCCTCTCAGCACGGCCGGGCCCCTCGGTGGCCCCGGGGGAGAACGTGACCCTGCTGTGTCAGTCAGGAGACGGGACGGACACCTTCCTTCTGTCCCAGGAGGGAGCAGCCCATCACCCCCTGCGTCTGCGCGCCCAGGATCAAGGCGGGCGGTTCCAGGCCGAGTTCTCCTTGAGTCCTGTGAGCTCGGCCCACGGGGGCACCTACAGGTGCTACCGCGCACTCAGCACAGAGCCCCACCTGCTGTCACGGCCCAGCGAGCCCCTGGCGCTCCTGGTCTCAGGTGAGGCCCGTCTGTCCGTCTGACTCAGCAGCTCGGGGCTCTGTGCCCTGGGAGGCCCCGGAGGTCCTGGAGGAGGGGGTGCTGAGGGAGGGGTCCCCTGAGGGAGGGGCCTCGGAGCTCACACCCCACCCCTTCCTCACGCACTGGGGTCCGGGACGGTCTCGGGGAGGCCACAGGCCCGTGCAGGGCAGAGGGCAGTGAGGTGGGGTCCCCGGGTCAGCCCAGCCCACCCCTTCCTGGGCTCATTCCCAGGACCCATGGGCCCAGCCCCCACCCTCGGGCCCCAATTCAACAACTGGGGAGTCACAGGGCTCAGTGCTCAAGGGAGACAGCCCACCCCAGGGCGCTTTGAGATTGTCTGGGGGCACAAGGCCCCTCAGATCGTCATGGGCCGGAGGGGAGTCGGGCAGAGATGCCGCGGGAGCCACAGGCTGGAGGGGCCTGAGGCTGCGGGATGGGGGTCAGTCTGGGGAGGAGCAGGCCCGCCCCCACCCCATCCTGCCCCCGGGAGGCTCCCCGAGGAGGACACGGCCCACCCACAGCCTCCCTTCAGGACCCTCGGGCCCCCGACACCCTCCCCCATCACCGCGGTCAGACCCAGAGTGAGGACGGGGACAGCGTCCCCGTCAGGGGCTGGGCTCGGGGCCGCGTCCTCTCCCGAGAGGCAGGTGCTTGTGCCGGCGCTGACCTGTGCGCCCTCACCCCAGACTACACGGTGCAGAATCTCATCCGGATGGGCTTCGCGGCCTCAGTCCTGCTGCTCCTCGGGGTCCTGCTCTGCCAGGCTCGGCACGACCGTGGAGGAGCCCGAGACGCGGCCCGGAACTGAGCACAGGGCCCCTCGACACCTTCCAGAGCACCCCAGCCCCCGACACGAGCGTCCAGCCCGGGAGATTCAGAAAGAGCCTCTGACCCCGGGGGGGAAGACGCTCCGCGGAGGCAGGAGGAGGCCCAGGCGTCCCGGGGAGGGGGACCTGGGGGCTCGGCCTCCACTCACGGGGCTTCCCCCCTCCCTCCCGGGGAGGACGCCCCAACTCCCGGCTCCTCCCACTCCCGGCCGGAGGTGCATCCCAGTGGCAGGGGCGGGTCCTCACCCTGCAGGCCCTCAGGCTCTGTCCGCTATCCTGGACGATGTGAGCCTCATTGTTCATGCCCGCCGTCTCTGGTGTGCGCAATGACCTCCATCCCTTCTCAGAAACAGAACGTCGTTTAAGTAACTGAATAAATGGGTGTAAGCGGGGCCCCGTTTGGAACAGATGGATCCAGATTCTTCCCTGAACCCCCTGGGCCCCTGACACCCTCCTCTCCTCATCAGATGACACCCGTGTAGTTTCTCCAGAAACACTGTCAGTGCGATGGGATCCCTGGCGCTAGAAGTGACAGTCAGGGCTACGCTGGTAAATGAGCTCAGGAATATATCGTTTTGTAAAGAGTGCTGATATGGGGTTTCCCTGGTGGTGAAGAATCTGGCAGCCAACGCAGGAGACGCAGGTTCAATCCGTGATCCTGGGGGATCCCACGTGCCAAGGGGCAACTGGGTCCGTGAGCCGCAGTGACTGAGGCTGGCACGTCCTGGAGCCCGCGCGCAGCCAGAGAGGCCAGTGTTGCAGATGCCCAGATGCCTCAGCGAGGGAGCAGCCCCGCTCATCACAACCAGACACACCCCTGTGCACACAGACCCAGCACAGAAACAATCATCAGGCAATAAATTCTTAAAGAGCCCAGGCGTGTGAACTGTGTGTCTGCTTTGGTGCAAACGCTCTCCGTGGCCAACCTCCAGGAGCCCGGGTGAATGGGCTAAATGCCGGGTGGGAAGGAAGGAGCAGGCTGGCTTTCCCAGAGGAGCGAGTCTGGTCCACCCACCCCCACCGATGGCCCCACATGCACAGATGTGTCCTTTGCAGTACACGTCACATAGGATGGTCTCCACCTCAGTTTCATGCCCCAGGTTCCCTGAGATGAGATGCCCACCTCCTAGTTCATCTGTGAGAGAGGGGAGGAGAAAACGATGGAGGAGACAAGGCTGACTCTGACGAATCCCGCATATCACGGGCAGGTGTACTCATCACCCTGCTCAACCTAGAGAGTCGGCAGCAATTCTCAGTGAAAAGCAGAGACACAGCGCTGGTCCACACTTGCATAACCTAGAGGAAGATGCGTGCACAGCCACGAGGGTGCAAGCAGAATGTGGACACGTGGGTTGTTCCCAGTAGAAAAGATTGCAGAAATCACTTTCACCAAAATGAATGGTTTGGTGTATATATCTGCAACAGAATTTTAAACAAAAAATTCAAAAAGGTGGACTGCTAGAGTAACACAGGTCAGTTTTCAAGCATAATGGTGAATAACTGAAATAAAACTGTAGGAGTCC